AATTGTTCATAAGACAGGTGCAATAGATAGTAATTTCCTTCACATGCAATAATTCTCTCAAACATTATGCAATAAAGCTAAAAGTGCAGCGCTGCTATGAAATTAAATACAATTTTATTACTATTTTGTCAAAGTATCTAAATACCGAGCAAAATCAAATGGAATTCCATGTTATCTATGAAGTGTAATGCATTTGTAGCATGGTATTTCAACTGCTAATCCATAATCAATAGAAATTATCTCGAGGGTAATTTCCCATTTCTATCATTTTTGGATCCAGATCCAACAGTCTCCAATGCATATAACTTGAGATCATCCCAGATTCCAAACCCGCACCAAACCAATCCCTCAAACACTAACAATTTTAGTTTCCTTCGTGTAATCAACCAACCATACTGCCTCATATTTAGTAGTTCCTTTGTGTTCACCTTTATCCGTCCATTGTAGCTCCTTGAGATTCACTATATCATTAGAAGAGCATCACTCAAAACAAGTCATGACCAATCCCAAAGAAGAAACCATACCGTCTAAGTTTCATAAAAGTCATCCTGTCAATAAATTAAAATGAAACATCTCTACAAAAACTAGAAGTTACATGCTTTGTTGGTTAGTGTTCCTATGAGTTTGTCATTCAGAATGACATCAATTTTTTTTTTCCTTTTTAATTTTGACCACAAGCAATCATTTACAAAGTTTCCAGAACTGACATTTTTAGGCATCTGGATTTATTTGTAATGCTTTTATACCGTAACATTTATGACCACAGTGGATCCAAAAAAAACAAAAATTTTTCATTAGTAGCAGCATAAATGTTTAAGGAAATAATCTTGGTAACTTAAATTTTGACCACTGAGTCACATTGTTTGATATTTTAATTATCCATTGAGATATGCATCAAACACATGTAGCTCAAATATCCGTGGGCTCCAAAAATTTGTATGCCCCAATCCCTCTTGAAAATATAATGACAAGAGAGTTTACTTGAGGTTCCGAGTCAAATTTCCAAAAAGCAGATGAAATTATAGATATGACACTACCCAAAGATTTTACCCTCATTTTGTGAGGATAGGAACTGGGGTTCGAGGTTTCCCACGGGAGCAAGCCTCTCGATAATGAGAGAGCACTTACGATTAAGGCTAGTCATTGGTGCTTTGATTACTCAACTTATAGTGGTAATAATTTGGGTTTTTGTGTTATGAAATTTGATTGAATTTTTCATTTTAAGAATTTAACACTACAAGCTTAAAAGCATATTGTTGGGAGAATGATTGACGAACTCAATCAAGATCTCATGATTTCATCATCTCTTTTTTGTTATAGACCCTAGTTTATTTAGTCAAAGGAGGTAGTCGAGTCATCCTGGCTAAAAGATCCTTGTCAATAATCATGAGTTGTTTGATCCTTATAGACTTGGGTGAAGTTTGTCTAAGGGGACTAATTTGACTCAAACTTAGCTAACAGAGGGCTTAGGTGTTATCAAATATATCATATGGTTTATGTCTCAAAGAGCAAAGGGTCATAGGGGAACATACGAATCACAACTGTGACCATAATTTAATGTGCTCGTAAATGATTGATTAAGTCACGCCGTTAGTAATAAGTGAGCTACCCAATTCTTTGCAAGCCCCATTCTACAATTCAATTATGTTTTCAATTAATTTCAGCTTTGGTATATGTCGAATT